TCCTAAGTTCACAAATGACTATAAAATTTTACCCATGTAAAGGTGACTTGTAGTCTACAGTGTACAATTGAAATTTTTAGCAAGGTATAACTTAGAAAGTAAACCCTAAAAATAACAACTTTTTTCTGCACTTAAATTATTTTACAAACTAATTTGCTAGTATTTTCTGTATTATCGGGTCTTAGTATCAATGATAAATGAGATAATATTACGGAGCCAGATAATTCAAGAAAATTGTTCTAGAGACCTAAAATTTGAACAGATAATAGAATACAGAGAAAAAACTAAAGCCTCACACCAGACACACCTTAGCCACATATTTTGAATCATCCCCTCTTTTCTTTACTTTGACCTGCNAAAGTAAATATATGAACAAGTGCTAAATATTGATGTCTCAAAGTATTTCTGTCGGCTGAATAATTTCATTTGGTTAAAAGTACTCAATATACTACTTATATTTTGTCACAACAGGGGTCTTAGATGATTATATATATAATGTCAAGGCTTGAAATATATGAAATAAAGGCCAGAGATTTATAATCTAAATTTTACTTACAAATACATGCATTTTCCGTATTATCAATAAATTATGCTTATCATGAATACATTTTGTGAATCAGGAAAGCATTTTACCTGATAGTATGCTTAAACTTGTTAGAATAATTACTAAGTCTACTTGTTAGTGTAGTCAATAGGACTAAAATAGGAGGTAGTGTGTTGGGTTATCTCTAATCATTGTACCTAGCAGTCTAGGACAGTGACTTGACCTTCTATCTCTCTATTGTATCAACTCTTTATCTATATAAATAACAGAACATGAGAGGTGTCTTTCAAGCCCTCAAGAACATATGTTTATCTCAAGTAAACTATTGAAAAGAATCCTTTGCAAGTCACCTGAATTAACCCATAAATTTATAAAAAGTTGCACCACCATTCCAAGTTGTAATTGGGTGGGATATACTTTCCTAAGTTCACAAATGACTATAAAATTTTACCCATGTAAAGGTGACTTGTAGTCTACAGTGTACAATTGAAATTTTTAGCAAGGTATAACTTAGAAAGTAAACCCTAAAATTAACAACTTTTTTCTGCACTTAAATTATTTTACAAACTAATTTGCTAGTATTTTCTGTATTATCGGGTCTTAGTATCAATGATAAATGAGATAATATTACGGAGCCAGATAATTCAAGAAAATTGTTCTAGAGACCTAAAATTTGAACAGATAATAGAATACAGAGAAAAAACTAAAGCCTCACACCAGACACACCTTAGCCACATATTTTGAATCATCCCCTCTTTTCTTTACTTTGACCTGCAATCATCCCAAAAGAGAAAAAATTATAACCATCGAATCTTCTTAAATTGCTTTACAAATAAGACCTTACAAATAATTAGATAAAGTAGAAACATATGAATCTAAAGTTTTAGTTTCATTGGCCACGTTATTAATAGCTCAGATATACCAATTTGCAATATGTAACACAAGTTATCTATCAAAGACAAGTTCTATCCATTACCTCTTCTATATTTTTTCTCTTCAATCTAAGTATCAGGAAATTGACTAATTGAAGGTGAGCATTAGCATAAACACTAAGGTAGTTGCTTAGTAACATGGCGGTCACTAGTTAAAATCTTGGAAATAACCTCTCACAGCATGCTAGGGTAAGGTTATGCACCAAGAATCCCACTAGGTGGAAACTCATGCATTGGGTTGCCCTCTTTTATATCTGGAAATTTCTTTTAGCTATCCACTTTTGGTTGGCTAGTTTGTAAGGTCCATTTAGCACAAAATTATAAATTATAATAACTCGTACTAAACCCATTAATTAATTTATATTACAAATTACAAAATCAACATTATACTGAATATAGGATAATTAAGAAAATTACCTGGGTATCATGTTCCACACAATGTGCATTCGTTAATAGTTTCCTGTCTCCAATCATAAATGCACTGCACAAAACGTTGCCTGTAAGATTAATAAATAAGGACTCTTACAATTCTACAGTCAAGGCTTTCAAAAACTTGCCTTCCAGTGCTAGTGTATTGTCTCTGTTTTTGCCAAGGAAGTGAATAATCCGGGGCAGTGTGGGTGCAGTAAACCTAAAAATGTTATAGGAACAAGATATATTATCAAAGAAAATCCATACATGAGCAATGCAAATATAAAGCATAGCACAAAAATATTATACGAAATTAACAAGGATGATTGCTTGTTGCTAAAAAAAATAGACACTGTTTTAAGGCACTTTGAAGGGAAAAACTATGGGCAGTATAGAAAAAATACTATGTTGACACTAGGTAAGGAGTCAGATCATATTATGATAATGAATAAGAATTCAAAAACTTGACATCATTAGATAACTCAGAAATGTGAGAAAGTTCCACACCAAGGAGGCGAACTAGCCAGAACACATACAATCAAACAGAGGCATGAAGTAAACAACATTTGTTTTTGAACTTTGAAATTTGAGGTGCAACTCTTCCCCCTCACATCCAAAGGTTTGAGACAATAAAAAATAAAAAAATCTTAACCAGGAATATAAAAGGTTTAAACTTCACCTTCACAACAGCATTTAGGAAAGCCGAGTCTTGTAAATCACTTGGTTCAACCTGAAATTATATAATTAACTGAAATTAGGCTAACCCCATAAAGAGAAACAATCAGTTTGACTAAGTATCTTAAATATAACCAGAAAAAAAAATTGCCACTTTCATAGAATATATGCCCTTTTCTAATATCTTTTTTTTAAATGCATCTTCTGACATTATATCCATCTCGTCATTTCCCCACCGGTGTATATTTGCCGCACCACAACTGAAAAACCACTGCTTCCTGTTTCGACTTTCCACAACACAAAATAGTGATTAAATTTTCACGCAATGCCTGAAGCACCTCAACCCAAACTTAACTTCCTCACACAAGTTACACTACAGTATGTTGGAAGGAGAGGGAAGGATATTTCTTCCATCCAAAGTACAAACACGCCCTTCCTAAAACACAAAACCCAAGTCCTTAAATGTCACTGCAATCACATAATTCACTACATAGCCGCCACAATAGCACCTCCAAATATGAAGACAGACACAACTCACCTATTTCAGCATTTTACACGCTGTTCCAAACACAGCATGACAATTTAATGCTAAAAAGTAAAAAGGGTAGGACTTTGTTATACACCTGCTGATCCTTGGAATCAAACATCTCTTTATTTCTCCTAAGAATGCCAAAAGCTTTAGAAGAAGTCGGTTGGGGTTCCACAGCATTCCCTCTTGAAGGCCTTTCATCTTTAGAGTGCTGCTTTTTGTGGCCTGCACCTTCCTTTTGACGATTGGATTTGGAGGAAGAGGAGGAGAGTCGGAGCGAGTGATTGCAACGAATAGAGGCAATGATGGGTCGTTGGCCGGATGAGCAACGGAATTTAACGGTGGAGAAGAGCACAGAGGATAAGGAAGTGCAACTTGATAGTGCAACAGCCATTTTCACAACACAGTGAGTGCAAAAGAAAGAGAGGTTGCAAATTGAGTTTGTCTGAGTTCAGTGTTGGCGCAGCAGCATTTCTACTTGTTCGTGTTTTTGTTCCTTTTCCTTATCCTCTCTGCATCCAAATCTTCAAACATCTTAATTTTATGTTTCACCGGTTTGGAGTTTCACTGTTTCTGTTGATACGTCTTCATATAAAAACCTAGAGCCATTTTTTAAATTCATTGGGTAAAATAGTTTATATTATTATTATTATTATTTAATCATTAGGATCTGTATTTTTGTTTTTTATACATAGTTATCTCAAACTCATATTAATAACCTAAGAAAAGTTCATTGATTTTTACAAGAGTAATGCTTACAACAATTTTCAAATATCTTATTTTGAACACTCTTTATTATTGTATGAAATTATTAGAATTGTAAATAATATCATCTTAATTTTAACAAGACTTTCTTCTTATTTTATAATTTTATATCAATTTTAATTGAACAGTAAAATGTGTTAGAAAGTGATTAACGCAAGTTTTTTAATAAATTTTAATTTATAACAGGGTTAATAAATGAAGTAGTAGTAGACCTATTAAAGTGTTGGGGTTAATAAATTTTAAGTGCGTAATACTTAAATTTTTTTAACTTAAGTTTCATTATAAAGGAAAATAGTTTATGTGCAAACAATGCAAAAACAAATTTATAGTATCAATTAACAATAATTCATTTTGTTTGATAAAATTATTTACTTTTGAAATAATTATTCTTAAATTGGCATTAATAATAATTTTGTATTGATTAATAATATAAATTTATTTTAATAGTAAAAGTACATATCATTAAACTCTTACTCCAAAGAAAAAAAATTTGATAATTTGAATTGAAGGTAAATTGGAAAGAAAAACAGAAAAATTATTAAATATATCATTTTAATTATCGAAGGCAATGATAAATAAAAAGGGGCATTCCGAGAATTGAACTCGGGACCTCTCGCACCCTAAGCGAGAATCATACCACTAGACCAAATGCCCGCTTGATTATACCCGTATAGTTAAATATTTATGACAGAAGAATTTATTTTGCAGATTGCATGTAAATATTATATTTTAAATTTTATCTTCCTTGAAATACATTTTGTATATTCTAATCTGCCTTTTAAACTCTAGAATAGAGTATNGAATTAACCCATAAATTTATAAAAAGTTGCACCACCATTCCAAGTTGTAATTGGGTGGGATATACTTTCCTAAGTTCACAAATGACTATAAAATTTTACCCATGTAAAGGTGACTTGTAGTCTACAGTGTACAATTGAAATTTTTAGCAAGGTATAACTTAGAAAGTAAACCCTAAAAATAACAACTTTTTTCTGCACTTAAATTATTTTACAAACTAATTTGCTAGTATTTTCTGTATTATCGGGTCTTAGTATCAATGATAAATGAGATAATATTACGGAGCCAGATAATTCAAGAAAATTGTTCTAGAGACCTAAAATTTGAACAGATAATAGAATACAGAGAAAAAACTAAAGCCTCACACCAGACACACCTTAGCCACATATTTTGAATCATCCCCTCTTTTCTTTACTTTGACCTGCAATCATCCCAAAAGAGAAAAAATTATAACCATCGAATCTTCTTAAATTGCTTTACAAATAAGACCTTACAAATAATTAGATAAAGTAGAAACATATGAATCTAAAGTTTTAGTTTCATTGGCCACGTTATTAATAGCTCAGATATACCAATTTGCAATATGTAACACAAGTTATCTATCAAAGACAAGTTCTATCCATTACCTCTTCTATATTTTTTCTCTTCAATCTAAGTATCAGGAAATTGACTAATTGAAGGTGAGCATTAGCATAAACACTAAGGTAGTTGCTTAGTAACATGGCGGTCACTAGTTAAAATCTTGGAAACAACCTCTCACAGCATGCCAGGGTAAGGTTATGCACCAAGAATCCCACTAGGTGGAAACTCATGCATTGGGTTGCCCTCTTTTATATCTGGAAATTTCTTTTAGCTATCCACTTTTGGTTGGCTAGTTTGTAAGGTCCATTTAGCACAAAATTATAAATTATAATAACTCGTACTAAACCCATTAATTAATTTATATTACAAATTACAAAATCAACATTATACTGAATATAGGATAATTAAGAAAATTACCTGGGTATCATGTTCCACACAATGTGCATTCGTTAATAGTTTCCTGTCTCCAATCATAAATGCACTGCACAAAACGTTGCCTGTAAGATTAATAAATAAGGACTCTTACAATTCTACAGTCAAGGCTTTCAAAAACTTGCCTTCCAGTGCTAGTGTATTGTCTCTGTTTTTGCCAAGGAAGTGAATAATCCGGGGCAGTGTGGGTGCAGTAAACCTAAAAATGTTATAGGAACAAGATATATTATCAAAGAAAATCCATACATGAGCAATGCAAATATAAAGCATAGCACAAAAATATTATACGAAATTAACAAGGATGATTGCTTGTTGCTAAAAAAAATAGACACTGTTTTAAGGCACTTTGAAGGGAAAAACTATGGGCAGTATAGAAAAAATACTATGTTGACACTAGGTAAGGAGTCAGATCATATTATGATAATGAATAAGAATTCAAAAACTTGACATCATTAGATAACTCAGAAATGTGAGAAAGTTCCACACCAAGGAGGCGAACTAGCCAGAACACATACAATCAAACAGAGGCATGAAGTAAACAACATTTGTTTTTGAACTTTGAAATTTGAGGTGCAACTCTTCCCCCTCACATCCAAAGGTTTGAGACAATAAAAAATAAAAAAATCTTAACCAGGAATATAAAAGGTTTAAACTTCACCTTCACAACAGCATTTAGGAAAGCCGAGTCTTGTAAATCACTTGGTTCAACCTGAAATTATATAATTAACTGAAATTAGGCTAACCCCATAAAGAGAAACAATCAGTTTGACTAAGTATCTTAAATATAACCAGAAAAAAAAATTGCCACTTTCATAGAATATATGCCCTTTTCTAATATCTTTTTTTTAAATGCATCTTCTGACATTATATCCATCTCGTCATTTCCCCACCGGTGTATATTTGCCGCACCACAACTGAAAAACCACTGCTTCCTGTTTCGACTTTCCACAACACAAAATAGTGATTAAATTTTCACGCAATGCCTGAAGCACCTCAACCCAAACTTAACTTCCTCACACAAGTTACACTACAGTATGTTGGAAGGAGAGGGAAGGATATTTCTTCCATCCAAAGTACAAACACGCCCTTCCTAAAACACAAAACCCAAGTCCTTAAATGTCACTGCAATCACATAATTCACTACATAGCCGCCACAATAGCACCTCCAAATATGAAGACAGACACAACTCACCTATTTCAGCATTTTACACGCTGTTCCAAACACAGCATGACAATTTAATGCTAAAAAGTAAAAAGGGTAGGACTTTGTTATACACCTGCTGATCCTTGGAATCAAACATCTCTTTATTTCTCCTAAGAATGCCAAAAGCTTTAGAAGAAGTCGGTTGGGGTTCCACAGCATTCCCTCTTGAAGGCCTTTCATCTTTAGAGTGCTGCTTCTTGTGGCCTGCACCTTCCTTTTGACGATTGGATTTGGAGGAAGAGGAGGAGAGTCGGAGCGAGTGATTGCAACGAATAGAGGCAATGATGGGTCGTTGGCCGGATGAGCAACGGAATTTAACGGTGGAGAAGAGCACAGAGGATAAGGAAGTGCAACTTGATAGTGCAACAGCCATTTTCACAACACAGTGAGTGCAAAAGAAAGAGAGGTTGCAAATTGAGTTTGTCTGAGTTCAGTGTTGGCGCAGCAGCATTTCTACTTGTTCGTGTTTTTGTTCCTTTTCCTTATCCTCTCTGCATCCAAATCTTCAAACATCTTAATTTTATGTTTCACCGGTTTGGAGTTTCACTGTTTCTGTTGATACGTCTTCATATAAAAACCTAGAGCCATTTTTTAAATTCATTGGGTAAAATAGTTTATATTATTATTATTATTATTTAATCATTAGGATCTGTATTTTTGTTTTTTATACATAGTTATCTCAAACTCATATTAATAACCTAAGAAAAGTTCATTGATTTTTACAAGAGTAATGCTTACAACAATTTTCAAATATCTTATTTTGAACACTCTTTATTATTGTATGAAATTATTAGAATTGTAAATAATATCATCTTAATTTTAACAAGACTTTCTTCTTATTTTATAATTTTATATCAATTTTAATTGAACAGTAAAATGTGTTAGAAAGTGATTAACGCAAGTTTTTTAATAAATTTTAATTTATAACAGGGTTAATAAATGAAGTAGTAGTAGACCTATTAAAGTGTTGGGGTTAATAAATTTTAAGTGCGTAATACTTAAATTTTTTTAACTTAAGTTTCATTATAAAGGAAAATAGTTTATGTGCAAACAATGCAAAAACAAATTTATAGTATCAATTAACAATAATTCATTTTGTTTGATAAAATTATTTACTTTTGAAATAATTATTCTTAAATTGGCATTAATAATAATTTTGTATTGATTAATAATATAAATTTATTTTAATAGTAAAAGTACATATCATTAAACTCTTACTCCAAAGAAAAAAAAATAGATAATTTGAATTGAAGGTAAATTGGAAAGAAAAACAGAAAAATTATTAAATATATCATTTTAATTATCGAAGGCAATGATAAATAAAAAGGGGCATTCCGAGAATTGAACTCGGGACCTCTCGCACCCTAAGCGAGAATCATACCACTAGACCAAATGCCCGCTTGATTATACCCGTATAGTTAAATACTCATGACAGAAGAAGTTATTTTGCAGATTGCATGTAAATATTATATTTTAAATTTTATCTTCCTTGAAATACATTTTGTATATTCTAATCTGCCTTTTAAACTCTAGAATAGAGTATTTTAAAAGATATTGAGAAAACATCTCCTGACTATTTTTATTTTTTAGTTCATACAATTGTTTTGAAACAAGGTTTTCAAAACTCGGTTTTAAATAAATTAAGAAAATTAATGGCTTACTAATGTGAAAGCCTTTTTAAACCATGAGAAAAGAATGTCACCAAACTATAGTACAAAATTTCGTAGTCCGTAGTACTAAATTAGGTGAGATATTTCCATATGACGTAATCTACAAACTTTTCCTATGAAAAAATAATTGCTGAATTATTTAATTTAAAAATGTTTTTTCATGTTAAATTATTTTTTAATTAAGAAATGTAAAAATAAGAAGAAAAGTTTTCAAATTGAAGAATTTAAAAGCAAAATTGACTTTTCAATTATGTAATTTCAAAATTATTTTCAAAAGCAAAGAAAAGGTTTTCATATTTATAAACATGCAGAAGAAAAATATGGAACGTGCAAAAAGAAATCCCCAATTAAGCGCCATATCCAAACGTTGGGTGATATCTAATGTCTGCTAGAAATGACCTCTCTTAAGTGCAGGATTTTTATATAAACTGTATAGGTCTCGTTCGGAAATTATTTAACAATACTACACACTACTAGAATAGTAAACCAAGAAAACAAACCATTTTTTTGTTTCATTCGTTGCCCCTATTTTAATTTGAAACTAATGAAGTGGGAACTTCTGTTTCAATTTCCCATATATTAAACACGTGTAAGAATGACGTATATTATAATGTTATGATTGATGTGTGATCACACAAAAAATGATAGGGTATGAAAAAACTATATAATGAGATATTAGTATGACAACTATTGATGAAAAGATGACAAAAAAAATCAGTAGAGGTCGTTTGAACATTACAAATAACATAAAAATGAGGAAAATAGATTGCATGGCTTTTTCAATCCTTGAAAAGGGAGAAGGGAAGGGAAACTAAGAAGAATATTAAAAGAAGTTGCTAAGAAGGATCTCGTGGTGAGTAAAATCTACGAAGATTTTAGCCTTAACCGAGGAAAATGGCATGTGTGATCTATGTAACTGACCTTACATTGTGAGATTTCATGGCTTTTTCAATCCTTGAAAAGGGAGAAGGGAGACCAAGAAGAACATTAAAAGAAGTTGCTAAGAAGGATCTCGTGGTGAGTAATATCTATGAAGATTTAGCCTTAACCGAGGAAAATGGCATGTGATCTATGTAACTGACCTTACATTGTGAAATAAGACTTTTGTTGCTGATTAACAGGTAAAGCTTTTAGAAAATTCAGAGCCAAAAACACAATTTGAAATAATGGATTTTCCTCCAAACCTACAATACAAGTACATTTATCACTAATGCAACTCAGTTTAAAAATAAACTAATTGCAGAATAGAAGCTATCATCAACAAGCCACATTGGAAATTTATGGCGATCGGCACTTAACATAAATCTTCCATCAAAGACGTAACTTATAAGATTTTTTTCCGAAATCAAGCTGATGGACATGCTACATACCAATGATTACTCTACATATGACCACAAATGGCAAGTCCTTGTTTGACGAACGGCGGGTAGGGAGAGCACAAATAGCTCTAGTCTTAAGATTCCAATAGAGATAGCATTCTACAGAGAGAACTGCATAGCACAAATAAATGAAATAGCAAAAAATGTTAATCTGTTGAAATTCAGTGGATACGTGATTCCAGCAACTACAATGCTTTCACCCAAGTTATAGTTGAACAAGTATTTTATTTCATAAAATTCAATAATTAATATTAAATAACATACCATTTTAACCAGGTCAGTGATTTCCCTCAGGTGCTTGAGCACTGGCATTGTAATTATCATAACCTCCAGATGATGGTGCTGGTGGATTGGCTTGGTACTCTGCTGATGATACCATAGAGGGAGCACCATTGGAAGCTGGGGCAGCAGTGCTACCAGGAACAGTTGGAGGGGGAGCTAATGAAGGGGGTCTTGGTAGGGTATTAAGTTGACCTGACACCTGGGGAGCACCAGGTGGGGGTAACATTGGAGGCATCGTAGGTGCAGAAACATATCCTATATATTCCAATTGAAAATCAATTACATCAGATATTGGGTAATAAAAGAACAAATTTATAATGCTTGAACATGACTATCAAATTTTTCAGAACTTCAGCATTAGATAAAATAACAACTTAAAGAAGAAACAGATAAAAGCATAGATAGGTTTTCTTGTCCAAAACTTATTTTATTTATTTAACAAAATAATTATTTTTATACAGAAAATCCAAAGAAGCTCCATATAAAAGGAGATTTAAATAACAATGTCGTTGCAACAACAGAAACCAAAATTAATTTGTGGTTAGCCCTTGGCATATGCATAACAAGAGTCACTGTTAAGATAATAATTGAAAGAACCACATATCTGCAAGTAAAATGCAAAGACATAAATATGACAGCCCAAGCTAGATTGAATGTTTCAATAAGAAGAGATGGAAGCTTTATGAACTTCACAAAAGCAATGTGCAAAATAAAATTCACCTGGTGCCCCAGGAAGTGGTCTAGGAAAGACAGGTGGTCTCATCCCTGGCATTAGTGGTTGGCCTCCAGGTACTTGTGTATTTCCAGGAATAGGCAGTCTTGGTGGCGGCAACACAGGAGGAAGGTTTGGCCTCTGAACCATCAGATGATTATAAGCTACACCAACCTGCTGAAACGCTGCAGCTTGCCCAAGATGTTCTTTGATCCTCTGATCAATTAAACTCTGTGTTTGTTGTTCTTCAAATTGCTGGTAGTAGGTTCTCACATTTGCCTGAAGATATGATCAGATACTAAACGCCATGAATATGGTGTACATTCTAGATTTATTCCAAGAAGTTAAAAATTTCATGGTACCTTGTGTTTGTAACCTGCATTGTGCTGCTTTCTAACAGATGGCTGCAATAAGACACAAACAATGTGGCTAACAGACCTTCATGAAACACTAATGGTTAAAGTACACTTTTAGTTCCTCTACCGTAATTAATGTGTAATTTGGTACCCGAATAACATCAAAGTTAATCCCCCAGTTTTTATTTCATTTGTCACAATAAAACCCTTTCATAAGTTTTCCTTCAACTAAAACACTAAAATCATCATTTTCTAAATAAAATATCCTCAAAATCACCTATAAAATCATTTCAAACCCTCTTACACTCAAAAATCACCATAAAAACATTATATATCACCCAAAATCAGAGAATCCCAATTCCTCATCCTTCTTAAAATCATGGCACATCTAACAAAATCCTTCAAACGTCTACCTCAGTTTGTTTTGCATCCCAAATTACACTCCAACCCCAATTATTTGAGTAAAAGAATGAGGATTTAGGGGGTTTCAGGTGCAAAACCTTAGCCATAACAAAGAGGTCACTACACTTGAGAATCCCACATGACACAGGAAACAATACACATTCAGCTTGCAATTGCATCTTATTAATGCCAGGTAGAAAATCTTTCTAGCAGGCTATGACAATGACACAAATAATAAACTATTTTCAAATGCAGTTTACTGGTACAACAAAATGTAACAAATTCACTAGACTAAACTAACTCAGAGTAAAGGGGGAAACAAAATTGATGAGGAAAAACAACTTACAGAATCATGGGTCAAATAGGTGTCGCAGTAGTCACAGTAATACCTGCAATGCAAAATCGATCAAGAAAAAATGAATATCGTGGATTCATGAAAACTGAAATATAAAGGAATCCACAATTTCATATGTACCGAGGCATGACTGTTTCAATGACAATGAGTCCCGTCAAAAACCCTAGAAGTGGAGCAAATTATCAAAATCGTGAAAGGAGAAAAAACTTAAAACCCTACAAAAATAAAAATAAAAAAATAAGAAGAAGAAGAAGAATCGAAGTTAGTAACCTGTGCTTGATGTTCCGGATGGAAAGGGTGAAAAATCGATACAATCAGCGATTAAAAGAGAGACAATGTGCCCAGAGCGCGGAAGTGTCCGGATTCCACAGAGGTATTAATTTATAGTCTCGTTTGATCTTTAACTCTTATTGAGTAAATACCAATTTAATTCCTATAAAAGTTTCTAAATGATTTTAGATTTTCTAATAATTTTATTTAAATGGAGTTTTAACTTTTTTTACTGAGTCTTTTTTTCAGCGAGATTTTTTATAAAATTTCACATTAGTAATTAAATATAGGGTTGGGCAAACTAACTGTAACTATACTAATCTATAGTTAATTGTACTGTTTTATACTAAAAATAACTAATCCATTTATACCAAAATCTAATTAAACTATTATCTAGTTCAGTTAAGAAAAACTGAACTTATTATTTTTTCAGTACAGTTAACTGAAAACCATTTGCTTATTTTTTTAATGTTTTTCCATCACTCCCCTCATTTCCATTTTGTTGTAAAACATGAATCAGACACTGCCTTACCCTACGAAAATGAAAACCCAATCTACGGTGACCCTGCCCTAGTCTTGTCGTGACGCAACCGCTGCCCACTATGACTCTGACATTTGTGGCCTAAGCGAGGTTGGGGTTGAGGGAGGAGGCTAGTCGTGGAGGGTCCCTGCCACATTTGCTATTGCTTCAATCGTCCTTGTCGTGGTTGTTGCTGCATCGTTTGTCGAGGGGATCTGCTGTTCGCTGCTGCATCGACCGTCAAGGTAAGCAGTGATTTGATTATTGTGTTCGAGCTTGCCTATCTTTGCTTTTACCTCTTTGTGCTGCTGCTTTACTTTGTAGGGTTTTGAGAAAGACACCAGTTAATGTCCTCAGTTCAATGACTTGTGTTGTGTTGTGTTTATCTTGTTCTTTGTTAATTTTAGGTTTCTTTTAAGATTATGTATGTTTTAGTGTTGTATGTTGTTCAATGGTCAGACATTTTTATGAGGAATTTGATGGAAAGTAATGAAAGATTGTTGCTTTTGAAGGGTGTTATATGATCTTTTTGCTTTTTGTCCATTGGGTACATTGGTTAACTTTGGTTTTTATGTTAATTGCGTTTAGACAGACTTTCAGGGGTGAATTTGGATAATTAGTTTGTTTTGATTGAAGCAGGACAAAGTTTAGGAGAAATCTGTGTGGATTTTGGGGAATCATTAAGTGATTGTATGTTTTGGTTTGTATTTGTCGGCCTTAGATTTTATTCCAAATGCAGTAGTAATGTTGCTAATGTTCATCAGCAGATGTAATTGTGTAAATGATGATGTGTAATTAATTGGAACAAAGATTAAAGAAAACACTAATAAGATAGTAAGAATAGGTTGGAAGAAGTCAACTAATATGAGTGCTTATTCTCATTTTTACATTGAGCATTCAATTCTTGCAGGGTAGTAAACATTAAACAGTGCAACAAAATTAGTTTTGTCTGATATAGTTATCTTCTTATAGAATAAACATTAAACATTCAATGCTTGTGTTTTTCTTGTTTTCAAGAAGAATTAGTTTTGTCTGATATAGTTATCTTCTTATAGAATAAATAGCTTTAGTTTTTTGTAATTTGATTTAATGGTGTTGGAGAAATGACAGGGAAGTTACCAAACAATGGCAATGACCAAGCAATGGTGTTGGAGAAATCTCAAGTCGACACGTTAACCGAGCAGTGACCTTTGCAATGGTAATGAGAGGTTAGTGTACCAACTGCACTCTTTTACTGGGTCGCTTAACTTATAGCCTCTGTTATGGCT